GGGGGCATTATGACAGCCCTCATCTGAACTGCGGTGACCCCTTGGTGCAGTCCAGGCCCCCTCCCCCAAGGCTTCCCGAGGTTCGACCTCAGACTGAAACTACCTCCTTCATAGATTTTTCAGCTCTACTTTGTAGGATCGCCCTCTCCCTTTATCTTTCCCGTGGGCTCCTAGTCAGGACGGGAAGCAAGATCACCCTCCTTTCTTCCCTCTTCCCCCCTCCTCTTGGCCCTCTAGGCGATAGTGTGGTTTCCAGGGCGGGGCAGGGGGGGATCTTCCTAGTTAGCTCTGCTAGCTTTCCTAGTGAGGCCTCAGAAATGGGGTCCCAGCGACTGAATTCCCGGCGCCTCGGGGCGGGCACTGCGGACGCGCTGCGGTGGGTGCGGAGACTCTCCAGGAGCCGAGGGGCTCAGAGCAAGTCCTTTTGCTGCTCCCGCTCTCCCCCGCCCTCCTCCGCGGTTTCCCTGCTCCAAGGTCTTGGGGCCAGCCACCCCCTCCGGCTCCCAGGCCCCCCGCCGCCCCCCAGCGGTCTCAGCCATCCATCACGGATGTCAGCCGCCCCCACCCCCCATCCTCCAGCGGTGCCGCGTCCCTGGCGCACTAGCGCGCCTCCCGCGCCTGCTGTCTGCGCTCAGTGCCTTCAAACGCTCCCCTGGGCATTGCTTGACCCTCTGGGCTGAGACTCCCGCAGACCCCTCTGGAGTATGACCAAACGGCCACAGGGGCGGAAAGAGGAGAGTCTTCCAGACACTGGAAGCTTTGGTTCTGAGGTCCTCAATCCTGGATCCCAGTCAGGGGCAGGTGGCCGCAGGGGAGGCTGGGGACACCAGGATCCCCAATCAGTCCTTTGACTGAGACCTTCTCCTCTCCATTCGTCTCTGGGACTGAGTGGTATACAGGAGCCAGAACTATTGGCTGGCCAGCTCATCCATCCCTCCAGTGACCCTGGGTCACCTCATAGGGCAGCTGCCCCCTCCACCACGTGCTTTGGCTGCACAGGGAGGGGGTTTGGCAAAGTTGAGCCTGCGGCAGTGCCAGGCAATGCAGTGCCCAAGGAGTAAATTAGGGAGGGGGTATTTCCATCTGGGATTCCCTTCTGTCCTTTAGATACCTCTACACCAAGACAGGGGCTCAGCCTGAGAAGTAATCTCTCTGTTCTTCCGGAGAGGGTATGGTCCAAACACCCAGAATCCACTTTCTCTACTAACACTTCACTGGGCCTGCGGCTTTCCACGGGGTCTCTGGAGGGCTATTAAAGAGACATCTGCATGTTTGAAACAGTAGTTGAACTAGGAACTCTTCGATTCTTACTCCTCCCCAATAATTTCTAGACACTGAGTGTAACAGGCCCCTCTGGAGACCGTCTTTCTATATATGGGGTCCAGGACCTGGGACTAGAGATACCAAGCCTCCGGTCAGGTCTTCTGGGTCCCAGAGGGAGAAGGCCTCCCGGGGGCACATGGAGGAGGTGCTAGAAGATGAGAAGGACTTTCTCGGCTCGAGGAAAGAGGGATAGAGAGCCCCTCGCATCTCTAACTCTAGATTCTTGGGGGCTGTAGGAAAAGATTTGGATTCTGACCTCCAGGAGGTGGCTCGATAAGAGGGCTCCTCTGGACTAAAGAAGAACCCCAAGATGTTATTCCTGGCGTGCAGATCTCCTTTTCTCGGGGAGTCTGACGCCCCCTCTCCCTTCCCAAGCTGACCTAGGGATTCCCCCAGGCCCAGGCCAAAGCCTCAGGGGAGGCTCCTTAGCCCGCGCCGCTAGCCTGTTTCCTCCCCGGGAGCTCTGGCCGCCGCAGCTTAATTGAAAGCCGATTCGGGCTGAGAGCTCCCAGGGGGCGGGGGCGGGGGCGGGGAGGGCTCAGCCTCGGTCTGGCCCTGCCTCTCTCGGCCCGCGCGGCTCGGCGCTCTCCCATTACCCCGACTCCTGGCTCTGGGGAATCAGGACGAGTTTCGCCTTAGCTGTCCTGTTCCTTTGAGAACTCAGAAGCTCCCTTCCCATCCCCCTTAACTAGTGTTCCCCTCGCTCCAGGGAGGGGATGAAATCGACCCTTGGCTGTCAAGGCCAGGAGCCTGGCGTCCCGCCTAGGCGGCGGGTGGAAAGGCGGGACCCACGACAAGCCTCCCGAGCCGCCCCCTCTCCTCCCCTCATCTTCTGGCCGGGATCCGGCCTGTAGTCTGCCTGCGAGCCGCGCGCCGCGTTACATAAGCGACTGCGGGCGCGTGGCCGGCTTGGCTCGGCTGGGCTCGGCGCAGCGCTCAAGGCCCGTGCGGTCACCATGGAGACCGGCGCAGGGCTGCCTAGTTACTCGGGGTCTCGGGCCGATGGCCCCCTTCCTGTCCCCTGCACACTACTTGCCCCTGCAAAGGAGGAGGCACTTAGGAGGGGGCAAGAAGGCAGAGCAAGTGGGCTCTCCTGTCTGGTGGTCCTGTGCTAACAGGGACGCTTCTGGGACAGACACCCAGCCCTAGAGCGGCCGGAGCAGCGCCTAAATCTTGCAGCTGAGGGAGGGGTGTGGCATGAGCAGCCTGAGCTGGGTGGGCACCGGGTATGCTAATCATCATAACTGTAATGGCAGCAGCAATCTACACTTGTGTGCCTGGCTCACAATATACATTATTCCACAATATACATATTCCAGAATATACATTATTCCCACAACCACTGTAAGTTAAGCATGATTAGCATCCCGTGGCAAAGGAGAAGACAAGCTTCGAAACTGATTTGTTCAAGGGGAAGACGCAGCTGGGACTGGAACCTAGATCTCCCTTACTCTTGCGCTTTTCCTTAACTACTATGTCTGGTCAACCTCCATAGTCCTTACAGCAGTGATGAGAACCCGAAGTATCTTTTCAACATTTTAAAAGAGAAGGTAGGATGTTCTCACCTCACTTTATTTTCCTGGTCTCTGGCCCTGCACAGCTGTTTTAAAACCCTGGGGTCAGAAAGGGAAACCCTCGGGAATTTATTTCAGAAGACTTTCCTGAACATCTATTATATGCTGGTCTCCCATGGGAAGGATGGGTCTTTTATTCCCAGGAACTCACATTTGAGGTTGAGGTGGTGGCAGGACAGTGGGTGGTGGTGGATTTTAGGCATTACTTCCCCTTGCCTCAGTTTGTAGGATGGGATTGCATTTAAAACAGGGACAGGTCATGCTCTGGAGATGGGCCTTGGCTGGGTGGCTGAAGGCATTTCCCAGAAGGTAGGGAGAAGGAGGGTGCAGCAGATTTGGATGGGAGGCGGTAGGAGAGAGGACTTCCAGGAGATGAAGGCCCCCTCACTTGGGATTTGGGCAATGGGGAGCCTCTCTAGGGTCCATAGAGATGACTGCTGCTGGGATTCAGCCTTGGGACTGAGGAAGGCTGGTGGCTGAAGACAAGGGAATGTGCCTATGGAGGCCTCCTTTTTGTGTGTGTCTGACAGTATCTTGCTGAGCGGCCCAGGCTGGCCTTGAACTTGTGGTCTTCCTGCCTCAGCCTCCCAAGTGCTGGGATTACAGCTCTGTGCCACCACAGCTGGGTCTCCATGGAGGCCTTTTATGTCTTTCTGAAAGGACCCTTCCCTTGATGCCTGGAGGCTTTCTCTTTGAGTGATCTCATGGAGACACATGGCTTGACACACTTACCGCACACGTGTACATGGGATTCCCCCTTACTTGTGCCCAGCCTCGGTCCTGATCCATATGTCCAGGTGGCTTCTGGATGTATCTCTGTGAGTATCTTACAGTGCCTCATCCTTAACTGAATACCATATGTGTCCTACCCCCAGACTCCTGCTAACCTACTGTCCAAATTTATTAAGAAGTACCATCACCTGCACATTCACCCATGCTAGAAACTCCAAGCATTATGCTAGATTCTTGCCCTCCTCCCCAAATGTCTGGCATGGAAATGTGCCTGTAATTGCCCGGGTCTGGGTAATTATCTGCCCTCCCCTGCATTATCAAAAGTTTCTAGTTTTTGTATTCCCTGCCAGAGTGATTGTTCTAAAACACAAGTCTGCTCATGGCATTTCTTTGCCTGAAACTTCAATGACTGTCCATTGCCCTCTGGATGAGGTCCAGACTTTTAAGATGCCGTGCTAGTTGTTGAAGGGCTCAGTCCACACTTACCTTCCAAGGTTCATCTTCTCCCACACCACAACTCATTTTTCGGCCTCCTGGTGTATCCTTTCCTCAGACTCCAGCTGTATCAGACTTGGGCTTCTCTAACCCGCTCTGTGTGCTCTCACCTCCGGGCCATCGAACACGCTGTTCTGCTGTTCTGTCTGCCTGGAACACCCGCCCTGCCTCCCTCCCAGTCTAGCTCTTACTCATCCTTCAGTTCTCAGCTGACACGTCACTTCCTCTGGGAAGCCTTCTGTGACCTCCTGGGCTGGGCTGAGTGCCCTCCTGTATTCATCTCCTCTGCTAGACTCTCCCCATCTGGTTTGGAAATTACTGGTTGCTGCCTTGTCTCCTCCTCTGGCCTTAAGGGCAGGAGTGGTGTCTTATTCTGTGCTTTGCTCTTCCTCTGCTCATGCCAGTATTGGCACTTGGTAGACATTGAATTGATTGAGGTGAATGAGAGGCACAGGATATGCCACAAGGGGCCCTTTTCTGAGTGGTGGGGTATCCTCAGGCGGTCTCAGGCTGCAGTGTTCTCTGTCTTTCTCCTCCAGAAAGAACGTGTGTCCACCCTGCAACGCCAGGATGGACCTAGTTGTGTTCAGTGGTGGCACCCTGGAGAGTGTTGGGCTGCCCTGGTGGATGAAATAGGATGCCCTTCAGAGCCAGGAGCACTCACACGTCCGTTAAATATGCAGTACAGGCCAAGCAGTGTGCTGGGCTCTCTGCACATGCTGTCTGCTAAAATCTTGCAAAGAAGGCAGTATAAACCCCATCTTTCCTAGTGTGCAAACTGAGGCTCGGAGAGTTAAAGTGGCTGCACAGCCGTGAGCCAGAGTGGATGAAGGATGAATAGTTTGTGCCAGACCCCTGACTCCTTTGCCTTCTCAGGTGATGGCAACCCCAAGGAAAGCAGTCCCTTCATCAACAGCACGGACACAGAGAAGGGAAAGGAGTACGATGGCAAGAACATGGCCCTCTTTGAGGTGGGCTTTTGGGGCTGCTGGAGCCCCACTCACAGCTGATCATCCCACTTCATCAGCTGCTCCCTCCTTCCCTGGGGAACAGCATCCTTCTCTCCATCCTCCCTGTGTTCACCTCCTTCCTTGGGCCTCCCCCAACCCTCCGTCTTCCTCTCTGGCTTTTACTCCCTCTACTGCCTGCTCCCCTCTCCTTCTCTCAGCATTTCCTCTTTCCTGTTCCCCCGCCCATTCCTCTTCCTTTCCCATCTTCTAACCTCAGTGGGTTTACCCTCCTTGCCCTCACCTCACCCTCTGCCCTCTACCATGCAGCTCACCCCACCCACTCTCTGGGACCGCCAGCTTCCTAACACACTGCCGTCCTTGCTCTGTAGGAGGAGATGGACACCAGCCCCATGGTGTCCTCCCTGCTCAGTGGCCTGGCCAACTACACCAACCTGCCCCAGGGAAGTAGGGAGCACGAAGAGGCAGAAAACAATGAGGGTGGAAAAAAGAAGCCGGTGCAGGTGGGGCCTTGGGGAGAGGGGATGGGGGAGGGAAGATGGGAGATGTTCAAATGGAGGATAAATGACAGAGGCAAAGGGGTGGGGTATGGGGGCTGCGGGAGGGGAAGGATGAGAGATGAAGGATGGAGCGGCAGGGGGAGGGAGGAGATGGCTTGAAAGATGGATGGTGGAGGCAGAAGGCCGGGAACTGGGGCCTGGAGGAGAGGAGGGAAAAGGTATAAAAACCAGAGGGAAGAGGGAGGAAGGGGTGAGGAAGGGGAGCGGAGGGAAGAGCGTGGAGGAGGAGTGGGCTGGGGTGTTGGTAATGAGCAGGGACTTCGGAGACTGACGCTGGCTTCCCTGGCAGGCCCCACGCATGGGCACCTTCATGGGTGTGTACCTGCCATGCCTGCAGAACATCTTTGGTGTCATCCTCTTCCTGCGGCTCACTTGGGTGGTGGGCATTGCAGGCATCATGGAGTCCTTCTGCATGGTCTTCATCTGCTGCTCCTGTGTGAGTGACCCCCACCCCCGCAACAGCTGGGGCTCCCACCCCTGGGGTGGGAGGTGGGAGGGGGAAAGCATGAGACCTAAGCTTTTTTTTTTTTTTTTGGAGACAGGGTCTCGCTATGCAGTTCAGGTTGGCCTTAAACTCACTTTGTAGCCCAGACTGGTCTCGAACTTGCAACAATCCTCCTGCCTCAGCCTCCCAAGTGCTAGGATTACAGGCGTGTGCCACCATGCCTGGCCTTAAGCTTTTTATGGGAACCACTGCTCATGATCTTTGAGAGTAAATTAGGCCCGACGAGCCTTGCCTGCCTCTCAGAGGCTTGGTTCTGATGGCTACTAACCAGGTTTCACCTGGGTCTGTATGTGTGTGTAATCACACAAGTAATACAGATTCATTGATGAAAATGATATGTGCAGAGAAACAAATACAATTCGCCTCTAATCACATAATAGTTACCTTTCAGTAGGCCCACAAATAACACTGTGACTGGATCCTTCTCATCCTCTTGAAAATATCAAATATTCACCATACACCGCATTCTTGACACATTTAGGTGTCCTCACACACAACCTTGAGACAGCTCTGCATGTGAGGCAGCCAGCGCCCAAGCTGTGCTGCTATTCTGTAGATGAGGAGACGGGAACTAGAGAAATGAAGCCTCAGGTCACGCCGTTGGTCACAGGCCACGCTGGGGTTTCCAGAGCTCTCTAGTGCTGTAGCTTCTGCCCCTTCCATTCGCACGGTGAACAAGAGGTTTTCGTGAGAAGAAGAACTTGGCATGAGTCACAGTTGGAAAAGGCCCAGGAAGAAGCTCAGCATAAAAGAACTTGTGGGTTTGGCTAGTGTTTGTGGGGTATCCGGCTTGGCCTCCGCCCAGGCCGCTGTGGCCCCCAGCAGCTGCCGTTCTGACCATCTCTTTCCTCACAGACGATGCTCACCGCCATTTCCATGAGTGCAATTGCAACCAATGGTGTTGTCCCTGGTACGTGACCGGGGTCTCTGGGGAGGAGGAGGAGGCCTGATGGTTGGAAGAAGGGACAGTGCCCTGGGCTTTGAGCGTCATCAAGACCCAAGAGAAGCAATATCGTAGAGCAGGGGACGGGGTTGTGACTGTTTATGGGTTGGTAGGAGGGGCTCGTTGGGGTGGGGGAGGGAGGGGGTTGCTGGTGTTGAAGAGGGCAATGGCAGCCCTCCCCCCTCAGCCTGAGACCCTCCTCTCCACCCTTCTATTTTCTGACCATGACCTCTTTATAGGGGTCATTAGCACCATGGTTATTAGCACTGCAAAATCCATGCAGAGAGGTTGGCTGGGTCCCCCCACAGTCTCCTGTCCGGGGTCCGCAGCCTGAAGCCCAGAGCAGCCCTCTTTGTCCCCTGTCACTGAGCCCCGCATCACCCCCTAGAGCAGCCCAGTGTCCCACGTCCCTCTTGCTGATACTAGGCTTTCTCTGCAGCTGGTGGCTCCTACTACATGATTTCCAGGTCTCTGGGCCCAGAGTTTGGGGGCGCCGTGGGCCTCTGCTTCTACCTGGGTACCACCTTTGCTGGGGCCATGTACATCCTGGGCACCATCGAAATCCTGCTGGTGAGAGGGGCTAAGGAGGAGGTGTGGGGTCCCAGGCTGCCAGCCAATTAACCAGCACTCTCTGGCCACCTCCTGTAGGTCAGGCCACTCAGGAAGGCCAAAGAGAAGTCAGATGTGGTTCTGTCTTGAAAGAGTTCCCAGTCTAGTTGGGGAGACAAGATACAATAATTATGTAACACAAACAGCTGTCGTCTATCAGGCACCCACTGAGCTCTCAGCATAGTTCCAAGTGCTTTACAGTCATTATCTTGAATCCTTCCAAGGTTTGAGTATTATGATGCCCGTTTTACAAATGACAAGCTCAGAGAGGTGGGACAGTTTGCTGACGGTCACTCAGCTGTCCAGGAGGTGGCAGAAGGTGGCTTGACACGGGTTAAAATATTGGTAGAAACAATGGTGATACCACACAGTAGTTGCCGTTTTGTGATCCCTGCCACACAAAGGGGCTGTGCTAGGTACTCTGAGCATGTTAACTGTAGAGGACTGACAGCTGCAGGACCACAAACAAGAAGAATCATGTGAGGGACCTGTGCAGAGAGATCTGGTAGCAGTAGTGACCAATGGGCTGTGGTGCAAGGACAGAGATGCTGACTTAGGTCTCTGCTCTTCCTGCTTTTATCTAAGTTCTTTTTTTTCTTTTTCTTTCTCTCTTTTTGAGACAAGGTCTTGCTATGCAGTTCAGGCTAGCCTTGAGCTCACTTTGTAGCCCAGGCTGGTTTTGAGCTCGCAGTGATCCTCCTGCCTCAGCCTCCCGAGTGCTGGGATTACAGGCGTGCGCCACCACACCCGGTTTTCCTTCTGCTTTTTTCTGTGGGGTGGATGCTGGTGAGGGTTCCCTGGTTCATAGCAAGTGGAGGTGACATGTCCTAACCCCTTGCCCCCTGCAAGCCCTCTGGAAGTTTTAACCAGATAACTCTTTCATGAGTTAGAAGGTAGCCATTTTACAGATGAGTAAAACAAGTCTTACAGAATTTAAGGAACATGAGGAAGGATATGAACCTGTGTCTTTCTGATGCCAAAGCCTGTGCTTGAGCACCACACTGCCTTGGAGAAGTAGATGGAAGTTGTGTGGTAACTCCTGGTTTTAGGGCAAGACAGAAGGAACCAAGGGTGAAGAGTCAAAGGCCTGAGGGAACAAATGGAGAGCAAAGAATCATAGGACCCTGCGACTTTTAAGAAATTAAACATTTTAAAATGTGTTATAAAAGAAATTCTGGGCTGTGCGTGTAGCTGAGTGATAGAACACTGGCTTAGCAGGCACAAGGCCCCGAGTTTGGTATCCAGCACCATAAATGAATAAATAAATAAATAGCAGTTATACCACTGCATAAAGTTGGAAAAATATCAATATAAAGAAAAAATGTAAGGGAAAAAAAGATCACCCAAAGAAAATCACCATCGCGCATTTTGTGTATTTCCTTCTATTTTTTTTTCTATGTGATATGGTATTCTGTCTTTGTAAAGTATAACTTCATGGGGGCTGGGGATTTAGCTCAGCGGCACAGCACCTGCCTGGCAAGTGTGAGGTTGTGAGTTCGATTCCCACTACCAGAAAACAAAACAAAACAGAAAGGTTCAAAGTATAACTTCATGCCATAAACATTCCCCTAAATAACTGAAAATTCTCTTCATGAATATCATTTATAAGTGAAAATAACTTTTATATCAACATAAACAATATTTAGTATGAAAGTTTATTTTTTTTAGTATAGAATTTTAGGAAATACAGATGTGCAAAAAATAAATATTATCCACTGTTCAATTATTCAGGAAAAAGCACTGTTAGTATTTCAGGGTCCCTGCAAACACACAGACACAATACACACATGTATAAATATTTTTGGAGCTGAATTTATAAAAATGAGAAAATAAAACATTTTAAAAGAACTTTATTATGTCCACCTAAGTAGCTTGCTTGCTTGTTTTCTTTTTCTTTCTTTCCTTCTTTCTTTCTCTCTCTCTCTCTCTCTGTCTCTCTCTCTCTCTGTCTCTCTCTCTCTCTGTCTCTCTGTCTCTCTTTCTTTCTGATGCTGGGAATTGAACCCACATCTGTGTGCATGCTAAGTACCGAGTCTACCATTAAGACACATCCCAGTCTTTTTTTTTTTTTTACATCCTAGTCTTGTGCCACCTTTGACAGCTTCATAGTTTGTGTGTGAATATCATAATTTCTTTACCCAACCTCTAGTAATGAACATGTAACTTCTTTCCCTGTATTAGAAATAATAGAACAATAAATAACCATTAATAACAAAATAATACAAATAAACAGTTGCTCCCAACATCTTTGCACTGCTGTTGTTGAAATATTTCATCGTAGTCCTTACAGGACAGGCCGTGCCTTACGTGGCTACTCCCCTGTTACGGGGTGTCACTTCCCATATTACACTATGTGGCGTGCTGTGACAGGTACCCTTTCTCCCTGAAGCCCAACCCAAACTTTAAGTCATGTCCCTGGGGTGATTCTCAGCTGGTCCTTATCGGGTCACTTGCCTGACCTTCTTGCCCGTTTCCTGCAGGCTTATCTCTTCCCAGCTATGGCCATCTTCAAGGCGGAAGATGCCAGCGGGGAAGCGGCGGCCATGTTGAACAACATGCGTGTGTACGGCACCTGTGTGCTCACCTGTATGGCCACAGTGGTATTTGTGGGTGTCAAGTATGTCAACAAGTTTGCCCTGGTCTTCCTGGGTTGTGTCATCCTCTCCATCCTGGCCATCTATGCTGGGGTCATCAAGTCTGCCTTTGACCCACCCAACTTCCCGTGAGTGCTGCCTCTGCGAGGCTAAGGCGTTCTCCTCTCCTCTCCTGGCTCCATTTCAGGGTCTGTACACCAGTCTCGGCAAGCGCCCTCTCCCCACTTCTCAGAATCTGAGTGATGTGGGTTATGGGATCCACCTGCCTTGGGAGGGAAAAAAATCTCTCCTGGTTTTGGGGAAATTTCTTCAGGATGGGCTAGCTTTTGTGGAGGCAGGAACAATTTTCCTTGTGAGAGTCAATGGCTTGCTAGGGGGGTGGCCTTAAGAACTTAATGGAAAAAAAGAAGAATTAATGGAAATGACTTCAGAAGGGATAAACACTGTGGTAGGGGAAAATTTCCTGATGGGTCCATCTCCTGGAATGGGGCAAACTTAGTTTTGGAAAACTTCTGTGGTATGGGAAAAAACAGAAGAGAGAGTTCAGGGCTCAGATCCCGGTTGGTTCATGGGCCCTGAGAACAGCACCTGAGGCCGTTGTCCATGGTGCTGAAAGAATATCTTGCTAATGTGATGGTTCTCCACCTTGGCGCCACGTCAGTCAGAATCGTTTGAGGATCTTTTCTGGACTCCATCCAAATTAAAACAGAATCTCTGGATGTGGGTCCCGGGTATCTGTGTTTTTAGATGTCCCCCAGAGGTTTTTTGTTTTGACTCCAGGGCAAGGTCACGTCCCTCCCCATCTTCCTTGCTTGTTTTTCTCCCTAGGATCTGCCTCTTGGGGAACCGCACACTCTCTCGTCATGGCTTTGATGTCTGTGCCAAGTTGGCTTGGGAAGGAAATGAGACAGTGACCACGCGGCTCTGGGGCCTTTTCTGCTCCTCCCGCCTTCTCAATGCTACCTGCGATGAGTACTTCACCAGAAACAATGTCACGGAAATCCAGGGCATTCCTGGTGCTGCCAGTGGCCTCATCAAAGGTCTGGGGGAGGAAAGAGGGATGGTATCCAGGGAGAGCCACAGGGATTGTAGGTTAAGTGGTTAGAACTATGAGGCCTTCCTTGGGACAGCAGTTAAATTCAATCAGCTTTAATTGATCATCTACTTTGGGCCATGTTCTGTCCTGGGCATCATGGAGGGGTAGAGATTTAAAAGGAGGAGAACCAGGTATGGTGGTGCACGCCTGTAATCCTAGCACTCAGGCGGCAGAGGCAAGAGGATCGCTGCAAGGCCAGCCTGGGCTATGTAGCTAGAGCCTGTCTTAAATAAAAACAAAAAAGAAAAGAAAAAAGAAAAAGGGAGAGAATATTTCATTACTAGTAGGAAAGAAAGTCACCAATTTAACAAATATTCACTAAACAACTACTAAGTACCTAGCACTCTGATAAGTAGTAGGAACACATAATAAAACAAGTCAAAGTCCTTGGCCTCAAGGAGTCTAGTGACAGAGACGGATGTATTAGCAAATAAATTATGACACAAGTAGATGTGTACTCATTGAACAGAGAACTCTCAGGGGAGTCAGTGCTTTTGTGTATCAGGTGACAAGACTAGAATTCCTGTACTCACTTGAAGAGATTTTTGAAGGACAAATAAGATTGTCAGTTATATCGGGAAATAAGGGAACCATAAATCAAAGTACAGCTGGTTTAACGCATGCAGGCAGAGAGCAGCATATTGTGTCCTCCCAACCATAAGTAATTTGGGATGATTGGGGGGTAAAGTGCAAAGGAAGGAGGGCAAGAAAGGATGTTGGAGAGCCTGGCATGAGCCGGATTGTGGCAGGCCTGGGAGGGCACGTTGAAGAGTTTAGGCTGCATTCTGAGGCAGTTGGAGTCCAGGACGAGGCTGATGCAATGAGCCCAGAAAAGAGATGAGAGTTTCCTTAACTAGAGTGGTGGAGAGATGTCAGTGGAAATGGAACAGAGGTTTTTATTCGGGGCTGTTTTACCTCCTGGGAGGTATTTGGCCATGTCTGTTCAGTTCTGCTTGTCAAAACTGGAGGGCTGCTACTGCCTTTAGTGGGAAGAGGCCAAGATGCTGTTGAATAGTCTATCTACACCACAGTGCTATGAGACGGCCTTCCATAGCAGAGAACCATCTAGCCCCACAGGTCACCAGTGCCAAGGGGGAGCCACACTGGAATGGAGAGAAGGGACATCCTTGAACTGTTAAGGAGAGGTCATGGGCAGAAGCTGGAGATGTTTTGTGGTGGGAAAAGGGGTAGAAGCAGTTGAGAACGATGCCAAGGTATCTGAGTGGGTGGGGGTGCTATTACTGAGATAAGAGATGCGGAAAAGGTTGGAGGGAATGATAAGATAAATTTGGGATACACTCAATCATTCTGAGGTAGGGCTTTATGTGTCTACCTCGCTAGATTAAACTGTTTGAGGGCAAGCACTGGGTTGGGTTTATCTGTGAATTCTCTGGCCCAAACCAGGAGCTTAAGAAATGTTGGTGGGAATAAAATACAGCCACAGGGAGTGAGCTGAGATGGACCTTCACTGTTACTTTTTTGCCCACCCCACCTCCTGGCCCCAGAGCGCGGGTCCTCTGACTGCCGGCCTTCCTCTTGAGCATTCTGTCTCCCCGCAGAGAACCTGTGGAGCTCCTACCTGACCAAGGGGGTGATTGTGGAGAGACGCGGGATGCCCTCAGTGGGCCTGCCGGATGGCACCCCCATTGACATGGACCACCCCTACGTCTTCAGCGATATGACCTCCTACTTTACCTTGCTGGTTGGCATCTACTTCCCCTCAGTCACAGGTGAAGGGGAGCTCAGAGAGGGAGGACTCTGCCGGGGACTGGGTGGGCAGGAGAGAGACAGTGACGAGGTTGGGAATTCTTAAACTAATAACCCCCTCAAGTAAGCTGGAGCCAAGAGTTCAGTCCCCATTGGAAAGATGAGGAAATGAAGGCTGGAACATGCCTGAGATCTTACATGAGTCAGTATGCCAGGACTAGGTCCCAGGCTCTCTGGCTCGGAGAGCTGTCCTCTGTCTCTCTTGGTCTGGTCTCCTGGGGTGTGGCTCCTGTCTGAGCTGCTCCTCTTTCCACAGGGATCATGGCCGGCTCTAACCGCTCTGGAGACCTGCGGGACGCTCAGAAGTCCATCCCCACTGGCACCATCCTGGCTATTGCCACCACCTCTGCTGTGTGTATCCTGCGCTGCTGGGCTGGGAGCCCCCTGGATCGGGGGGCGCGGGAGGGGGTGCAGCCGAGGTTGCTGCCTGACCTCTCTGGTTCAGGAGAAGTTGCAGGGGGTGGTGCTGTACTTTGGAGTTTCTCCTTCATCCTGTGCTGCAGATATCAGTTCTGTTGTTCTGTTCGGGGCCTGCATTGAAGGGGTCGTCCTACGGGACAAGTAAGTCAGAGAACTGGGGTTGACCCTGTTCTGGAGGAGGGGTGGGCACACGAAGCTCGGTCCTGGGAAACAGACCTGGCAGGGGTGCTGGGCCCAGTTCAAGGGGCTTGTGGGAGGGAAGTCACTACGGTTGCTTGCAAACTCACCTTATTATTATATTTTATCTTTCTCATGTTATTCCAGGTAAGGAAGCTTGAATGATGTCTCATTTCCTTTAGGATAATGATACTTTCCTTTTCTTCTGTTTAAAATCTTATTAATTCGTTATCATTGACTGGATGTTTATATATTGGTCACTATCTAGGGCTGTAGGGGGAGCAAAGATATGACACACAGTTTTTGTCCTGAAGGAGTTCTTTGGGGAGAGTGATCACACTTGCTAGAATACATTAAATGCAGAGCAGGAAGAGTGGCCATAAATAAGAATACAGGGGCTCTGGGAGCTCACAGAGGACAGCAGTCCAGCGCTCAGGAGACTGCGAAAGGCTTTCCAGGGGAAGTGGGGTTGGAAGTGTCTTATGCATCTTAAGGTTGGGCTTCTACCAGCCATGAATCGAAAATATTTGAAAAGATAACTACATCTGTAAGGCACAGGTACAGACTTTCCTCTTGGCCATTATTCCCTAAACGATATAGCAGAACATCTATTTCCAGTGCACTTACATTATGTTAGATACTGTAAGTAATCCCAAGATGATTTAAAGGACATGCGAGAATCTGCATAGGTTATGTGCAAATATACCACCTTACATAAGACATCTGAGCATCACAGACTTGGTATCCACTGGAGCGGGGGTCCTGGAACCAACCCCTCTGCAAGCCGAGGGAAAGTTGTATCTTGTTCATCCTTTCCATTTTCAGTGTTGAGCAGAGATTAGGCATCTAGGATGGGAAAGGGTCTTCCAGGCAATGGGGACAGTGAAGTGTATTTCTGCATGTATGTGTGCTTGTGTGCATGGACGTGGCTATAAACAGTTCAGTGCCCTAAAGCCCTTCCTTCCGCAGGGCGAGTGTGCTCGCTAGGAGCAGGGGAAGGGAGGGGGTCTCATCACAGAATCACTTTCCAGAGCATCTCTGGCCTGGGTAAGGTAATATATGGGGAGTGTGAGGCTGGAGACCTAGGCTGGAACCAGGATGCAGGTGATACTGCAACTTTAGTTTGGTATTATTATTTAAATGGAGGAAACCCCGAAAGGTTTTAAATAGGGTAATGACCCGGTCAAGTGGACGGTGTACATATATCACACCTGTTAGTTCTAGGGCGGTTTGACTTCTACTTCATTTAATCACAGACCTCGCATATGATTGCACTGCAGATCATGCACTGCAGTTCTTCCTTGGATTTTTGTAGTCTTTCACCAAGGGTCCCTTTGAGCACATCTCCTGGCACAGAGTGCTTCATCTACTGAGGTAGCATCTTCCATTTTTCCCCTCCCTTTCTCCCTCCCTTCCTCCCCCTCCCTCCCTGCTTCCCTCCCTTCCTTCCTTCTTTTCTTTTTTTTTTTCTTTTAATTTTTTTTGAGACTCAGTCTCACTTTGCTCCTCAGGCTGTTCTCAAACTCCTGGGCTCAGGCAGTCCTCCTGACTCAGCCTCCTAAGTAGCTGGGACTATAGTATATGTGATCCACTGTGTCCAGCTTCTTTCTGAGACAGTGTTGTTAGAAAATTCTTTTTTTTTTCTTTTTTCTTTTTTGGTTCTATGACATCACTACATTATGAAGCCAGAGCCCCATTTTCCACATGGAGACACAGATCCGAATAGTCTCAGGATAATGTTATAGTAACACTTGGCCATTTACCAGAATCACATTGATACCATGTTCTGGGTATGGTACTAATCTTGTTATATGTTGAACCTCCTTTTCCTCCCTCCCCAGAGCAATTGTATGAGATAGGCTTGTAGTAAGTCTTGTTTTCCAGCTAAGGAAACTGAGGCTCAGAGAGGTTCAATGACTTGCTCAAGGTCACACAGGCAGGGAGCGCCCAGGATATTTGGAGCGCATCTCTCTTTGACCCCTACAGAGCCCAACCCTGTGGTCAGCACAGTTACTCCTGCAGTTGGTGTGGGGAGGCCCGCCCTGGAAATCCAGGTAACAACGCTCACCCAGCCTCTCCTGTCTCCTTATTGCTGTACTCCAGGTTTGGCGAAGCTGTGAATGGCAACCTGGTGGTGGGCACGCTGGCCTGGCCATCCCCCTGGGTCATTGTCATCGGATCCTTCTTTTCCACCTGTGGGGCTGGGCTGCAGAGCCTCACGGGGGCCCCGCGCCTGCTGCAGGCCATCTCCCGGGATGGCATAGTGCCCTTCCTGCAGGTCAGTGGGGGCAGGATAGTGCCTCACCCAGTAGCTCAGCTGGCCAGGCCCCTGCCCACAGTGAACGAGAGCCACTGTCAGCCCTGCGCTGCCTCCTGGGCACTTCTGCCCAGCGCTGCACTGAGAGGAATGGGTGGACTTTACTTGGGATTTGGCTGATGGTCAGTCCCTCTCTTCAGGCATTTTCTGCTCTCAGGGAAAAAACGAAAGTGTCCTTCTTCTGGCCCCAGTGCTTGGTCAGGGACTTAGAAGTGGAGTTGGAGCATAGGAAGAGGGTGGTTCTTTCCATGATGCTTGAAACAAAGATTTATGGAGCACGCAGTCGAGGCCGCTTGCTGGCCTCCTGATGGCTCCTCTCTCATCTGCTCCCCTGGAGCATCTTTTCCCTTCAGAGGTCGTTTGAATTTCATGGCACTTGGGTGCCAATATCAGGGGGCAAAAGCCTGCTGTTCCCTTGGGTTTCCTAGAGGATGAGAATACAGACTCCTCTCTCTACCCCTTCCCTGGTTGTAGGATTCCTGCCTTTACTCCACTGGTTTCCAAGCCTGGGGAAGAGAGACAAGAAGTCCTTAAAGTCTCCATCCCCTATTATGGTTGCTCTGTCCCCAGGTCTTTGGCCATGGCAAAGCCAATGGAGAACCAACCTGGGCACTGCTGCTGACCGCTGGCATCTGCGAGATCGGCATCCTCATCGCCTCCCTCGACGAGGTGGCCCCCATCCTTTCCATGTGCGTGTCTGGCTTTGTGCCCTCCCCACCAGCTCCATGTGCTTCTCCCCCTGGGTCCTCCATCTGTGACCCTGACAACCCACCCCAACACTTTAACAACTCCAAGAAGTTTCTCAGTGGCCAGAGAAGCCCGTCCTCTGTTATATAGATTCACCCCCATATATGTCTGGATGTATTGTAGCGGACTTGGCCTTTGAACCCCTTCCTAAGCACCCCAGCGTGATTTCCCCCTTTCTTTTCCCTTGTCTTGTTTCTGTTCCTGCATCCCTTTAGCCTCTGTTTCTTTTGGGGGTCTTTCTGCGTTCTAGGTTCTTCCTGATGTGCTACATGTTTGTGAACCTGGCCTGTGCAGTGCAGACGCTGCTGAGGACACCCAACTGGAGGCCACGCTTTCGCTATTATCATTGGTGGGTGCTCCGTCCTGCCACCCACACCACTAACCCACTACTCACTTCTGCCCGGCCCCCACTCCTAGCCCATTCCCTCCGGGTTTAAAGACCCCACACTTAAAGAAGACACCACAATTTATCTAGCTGCGTAGCTCAACTAGTATGAGCAAAGTCCTGGAGAAGGTATCCATATAGCCACAACTAATAATGTAACACAACTTGAAACAGCCCACTGTAACCCCTGTGCTGTACTCAGCCTCTTACAATATAGCATGGAGGTTAGAGTCAGCCCCACCTGAATGAAAAATATGACTGCACTTCCTGACTGTCAGACCTTGGGCTGATGACGTAGCTTCTCAGCACTTAGTTTCCACAACTGTGATATGGGCGTGGGAGCTGCACCCTTCTCCCGGGCTCTGGGAAGCATCCTAGTGCTGGTGCAGGAAGATGGTCATTCCAAGGAGGTTGCGGTTCCTCCACTGTGGAGCTGCAAGAATACTATGAGCTCAAACAGAGAAAGGGACTGGCCCAAGGCCACCCGGGAGGATGATGGTGTGATGGGACTAGCACCTGCTTTGCTGAGGGTCTCTACCTGGACCTTCTGCTCCTAACCTCTCTAGAGACCCATGCCTAGAACCATCTGACTAGGACTGTCCGGCAGGCTCAAAGGCACAGGGGCAGGGAGGGGTTGTGCTTCCGGGGGTGGGCGGGGCATGGTGGCCTGCCTGGTTGCTCATTCATCCACAAGTCCTCTGAACCCCACGGTGCTTGTGGTGCCAGTAGTGTGAGCACCCTTAGACCTCGCTGTGGTTGCCCAGGTTTGGCTCAGGCCCTGTCCCACCTCTTGCTGGAAGCCCCAGCTGCAGGGACACCCTTGCCAGGGCTGAGAGGCTGGGTCTCTCTCCATTGTTCAGGACCCTCTCCTTCCTGGGCATGAGCCTGTGCCTGGCCCTCATGTTCATCTGCTCCTGGTATTATGCGCTGGTGGCCATGCTGATTGCTGGCCTCATCTACAAGTACATCGAGTACCGTGGGTGAGTGCGGGCAATGGGGAGGGCCGAGGGGCAGGAGCAGCGGTGGGCGTGGGGATGAGGCGGGGAGCGGGGAGGACAGGGCTGGGGTGGAGGGAAGGGTGATGCAGGGTGGGATTGGCAGACGGGGACTGAGGCTTTGAGAAATGGACAGAAAAGGCAAGCGAATAGATTCAGAAGTAAGTTTCCAAGGAAACCGCCCAGGCTTGATTGAGCCAGGTGGCAGGAGTGACAGGCCTATTGTTTCTGAGCCTGAGATAGATGGCTGTGCCCTGCGGCAGCCAGTTCTGTGTGGATGGTTCTCTCCGTCACTCTCTGGCCTCATGCGGTCCCCTTCCTGGCCCCCAGGGCAGAGAAGGAGTGGGGTGATGGGATCCGAGGCCTGTCTCTCAGCGCTGCCCGCTACGCCCTCTTGCGCCTAGAGGAAGGGCCCCCGCACACCAAGAACTGGAGGTGAGTGACGAGGGCACAGGTGCAAGGGGCTCAGGGTGGGGACAGGAAAGGAGCAGGGGCCAGATTCATTCACTTGCTTCACTTTGCTGAAAGGCACCCGACAAACCTGGCCTTGCCTGGGGTGAGCCTTGGACATGTGTTCTCCAAAGCCTGTCCACCGTGCCGTCCACCTGACCATCTACTTATGTGTTGATTCAAAAACCTTGGGAACGCATGCTGTGTGGCAAGCCGCCTCCCAGGCTCTGGGGATGTAGTGAGGTCACAGTTCTGTGGTGATGGCACGCAGAGCCAGATAAACATCGTATCTTGCAGGGTTTACTCTCTCACTTTGAGAATCTCTAGATTTTATTCCTGTGAAGTCAGGAGCCAAAGAAGGTCTCAGGAGTCGCAGGAGGCAGTGGGGTCAGGATCCTCCCCTCCCGCCTCTCAGCCTCAGTGCCTTCTAGCTGGCGGCCCTGCCTGCCCAACCCTTACCCATCCCCCCAAGCCCCACTTTGCAGGAGTAAGGCTGCAGCTCGGAACTGTGCTAGGAACTGTTGCCTTGTCCTTGTTGATGTGGACTAAACCAGGGCTTCCAGACACCAGAGCTTTGCAGGGCTTGTCTGTGAACTCTCAGATGATCAGCAGAGTCTAGCCCAGAGTAGGTGCTTGGAGGGTGGGCTGGGTGAATGAATTAAGGTGGCTACGTGAAGAAGGAGAATGGATAACTAGATGGTCGGGTGTAAGTGTATCTCTGTATAGGAGGGTAGTGGCTGAATAGATGGATGTGGGATGGACAGCAGGTAGGTGAATGTGTGGGTAATGGAGTGAGTAAGGCACATGTATGTAAATTAATATGGGTGCGAGCAGATGACTGAAGAATAAAATGGACCAGGGCATGGACAGACAGATGAGTGTCGTAGGTGCACGGAGAGGTGGTGGGTGGGTAGATGGATATGCGGAGGGATGGATGAAGGCCTTGTTGTCCAAGGAGCTGTGTGGCTGGGTGGATGTTAAGCCACATGTGTGGGGCAGGTGGTGGGGTACAGGGGACAGTGGCCAGGTGAGTGACTGAGTGACGGTGGGTGGATGGGGGCTTGCTGGTTGGGGAGGAGGTAGATGGGTCACATGACTCTGCACTCTCTTCAGGCCCCAGCTGCTTGTGCTGGTGCGTGTGGACCAGGACCAGAACGTGGTGCACCCACAGCTGCTCTCGCTGACCTCCCAGCTCAAGGCAGGGAAGGGCCTGACCATTGTGGGCTCTGTCCTCGAGGGCACCTTTCTGGACAACCACCCCCAGGCCCAGCGGGCAGAGGAGGTGAGCAGAATATTGGGGGTGGGGGCGGCCAGGACCCTCAGGAAGTCAGACTCAGCCCCTCTGTACCCTCCTTCCTTATATCTTTGGGTCAAGGGGGGCTCAGTTTGTCTTTTTTCTTAGAACAGGAGCCTGAGGGCCCAGAGACTGAGTTCTTTACAATTTGATCCACAGAACCAAAGAGCATCAGAGCCAAAGGGCCCATTTTATGGATAAGGAAACTGAGGCCTAGAAAAGTCAGGTCACCTAAGGACAGAAAACTGAGATTCAAATTAGGACTGCTTGACACCCACTCCAGACTTCTTCTTGCCAAAGTATAAACATTTCAAAGTGTTTTCACATTCATGGCCTCTTTCAATATACAGTGCGCGGTGTCGGCAGGGTGAGCACCCACAGGTGACTGAGGAAGAAACCGAGGTGCAGACAGGGACAGCAGCTTGTGGAAAGTCACAAAGCTGGCTGGAAGCCTAGTCAGGTCCCTGGCTGTATGTCACCTGCTTTTGGCTCCATCCCTGGTCTACACCCGCAAAGCAGCACACGGAGCTCGTGTGGGCTGGGGCAGCCCACGCCTGCATTAAGTGCCTAAGAAGAGTCTGAACTCATGGGCTGTAGGGGAAGGCAAAGGGGCCTACGAACCAGGCCTTTCCCCTCTCAGGGCTGTGGCCGGGAGTGGAGACAGAAAAAGGGGCCTGGTGGAGCTGAGGTGAGGCAGGGGAGGGGCTCCCCTAATGGCTTGTGACAGTTGCTGTTTCTGCCTCGCTGAGCCGCTCACGCCAATCTGTCAGGACCCAGAGCTGGAGGCCTGGACTCGTCAGCACAATTTTGCATGCAGTGGCTGAGAACGTGCTGTGGACCAGGCACTGGGCTAGGCACAGGGCAGATGGAGATGTTTAGGAGCAAATGCCAGCTTGCAAGGCGGCCACAGGCCGGTGGGGGAGATAAAACCTATCTACACAGAAGGCTGCAAACGCCGTGGCTGCTGCTGGATGCTGGGTTAGGGTTAGAGACAGCAGGACAACACAACGGGTTTGCGTTTGCCATATGTTAGGCAGTGTAGCAGCCCGCACATGCCCCGTGTGCTCTAACCTTCCCTGCTCCTAAGTGAGGTGGCTGTCATGACCCCTGTTTAACAGATAGGCACAGAGGTTAGATGACTTGCTCAAGGTCACGGCCAGGAGGTGGCAGAGATGGAAATTAACCTCTATCTGTTTGACATAAGGGCCGTGGTTGGGTAGTGGTGGCTGGAGTGAGATTCTTAGGCTTTGTATCTCCACAGCGTCACTAGCTGTGTATCCTTGAGCAGGTCTATTTTCTTAAGCCTCAATTTCTTCATCGATAACGTAGGAATAATGAGAACATTTCCTTCAGTGAAGGTTAAGTGTACATTTAAAATGCTTGTCAGAGCCCGGTGTGGTGGTGCACACTTCTAATCCCAGCACTTAGAAGGCTGAGGCAGGAGGCTTGCCATAAATTTGAGGCCAGCTTGGGCTGCATAGTGAGTTCAAGGCCAGCCTGAATTAGTAGTGAGATTCTGAGATTCCCCATACCCCCCAAAAGCTTATCACTATGCTACTTAAAAGCGTTAAAACAAATTGGCCAAGCAGAGAAGCCCAGTTTAGCGCTGGTCTGGGTGCTGGAGAAGGTAGCATTTGAGTTGGACGAGGCAGGGTTAGGTACGTAGGCAGAGGCGTGTCAGGCTGGTGATGCAGTTGTCAGGCAGGGCATGGCCAGAGGGGAGATGGGAGGGAGGGAGGGCTGAGTCTGGTTCTTACCCGCACCCTGCCTCCAGTCTATCCGGCGCCTGATGGAGGCAGAGAAGGTGAAAGGCTTCTGCCAGGTGGTGATCTCCTCCAACCTGCGCGACGGAGTGTCCCACCTGATTCAGTCCGGAGGCCTCGGGGGCCTGCAGCACAACACCGTGCTTGTCGGCTGGCCCCGCAACTGGCGGCAGAAGGAAGATCACCAGACCTGGAGGAACTTCATCGGTAATTGCGGCCTGCGTGCGGAGAGGGTGGCAGCGGGCTTCGTGGGGCCTCATGGTTTTCCCGAGCATAGCACACACGAGGATTGGATGTGCTCACAGCTGGCCATGTGCCAGCCCCTGTGCAAGGTGCTGGGACTGAGCCGTGAATGGGACAGTCGTGGCTCTTGCATGGCTCACAGGACCTGGGAGGTAGAAAGGGCAAGACGGGGGAAGAGTCACAGCCTTGAAGTCATGGTGGCTGGGTCTGCGTCTCTGCTCTGTCCTTCCTGGTGATGCCAGTGTGCTCACGACTCACGCGCTCTGAGCACCAGACTCTGTGGTAATAGCCAGGAATAGCAATATCAAAACTAACATTTATAGAATGTGCTCTGTGTAACTGACAAGTTCAGTCTTTGTCTATTCCTTTCATCAGTCCTATGAGGGCTACTATTGTTATCTCCCTTTTATTGGTGTGAGACTGAGGCACAGAGAAGTTAAGCACAGAGAAGTTAAGCACAGAGAAGTTAAGCCCAAGTCACACAGCTAGGAAGCTGGGTTTGAACCAGCCCTGAGGCTGCACTGTTAACTCGAAGAGATTCCATCTCCTTTAAGAATTCTGCGAAGCCATGCATGGTGGATTCTTTTTTTATTTTTTTTAATTTTTTTTATTTTAAAGAGTAAAAGAAGGATAACATAATAATGGGGGGATTTAGCAAATTACAGACAAAATGGTAGGAAATTATCAATGGTTATCATTTTACATATTGTTATCTACAAAATAGTTTCTCAGGAAAACAAATAGACAAATAATAGTGAGTTAGAGACAAAAGAGGTAGGAGATTATCAAGAGTTGTTGTACTATACTTTGGTATCTTCAAAGTGGCTTCTAGCATGGTGGATTCTTAATAAACAGAAAGCGCAAGTGGTGTTATTGCCATTTGACAGGTGGGAAAACTAAGGCCCAGTGAGGTCGAGGGACTTTCCCAGATACAAACAACATATATTGTATGAGGCTCAGGCAGATGCTAGTTTTCTGGCTGCTTAGCTCAAGGCCAAGACCCGGAGGGGTGGGGCCTTTGGGAGCACTGCTGGGCACTGGAAGACCGGAATCCCCATTCCCCTCATGGGCCTCTGCTTGTTCTCCCCAGAACTGGTCCGGGAAACTACAGCTGGCCATCTGGCGCTGCTGGTCACCAAGAACGTTTCCATGTTTCCTGGGAACCCTGAGCGCTTCTCCGAGGGCAGCATCGATGTCTGGTGGATTGTGCACGATGGCGGCATGCTTATGCTGCTGCCCTTCCTGCTGCGGCACCACAAGGTGGGCGTGTGTGTGTGTGTGTGTGTGTGCGCGTGTGTGTGCATATGCATGTGTGCACACCCTGGCCATGGTCAGCCTTCACACCCTTCCTCTCTTGTGAACTCCCGGGACAGGGATCCGATTACCTCCTGTGTTCCAGGGTGGTAGGAATTGGTTGTGTCTGCTTACAGGTGCATTGCTCTAAAGGTAAGCAATGCCTAACCCAAGCAAGCGTTACTTTACTGGGAAACCTCAGACTTCAGCAGGGGAGGCTCGGCAGGGAGTGGCCCCTGAGATCAAGGATTTCAGATCTGCATGTGTGTGTGAGGAGCAGGAAGGAAGGGTGAGTGGACACGGGCCTCTGACCATGGAACTTCTGCTTGCACTGGGGTTGGACATTCTTGGATCCACTTCACTCTGCAGGTCTGGCGCAAGTGCAAGATGCGAATCTTCACCGTGGCCCAGATGGATGACAACAGCATCCAGATGAAGAAGGACCTCACTACATTTCTGTATCATCTGCGTATCACCGCGGAGGTGGAGGTGGTGGAGATGGTGCGTCTGCAGGAGCCCCTCTGAAGTTCTGGAGTGCCCCCTGCCATTCTTTCCCCTTGGTGCCAGCATACATGATGGCAGATCCAATACGCATTCGCAGATGATGCTGTATCCCATCCCCCTCACCTGCCTCTCGGCTTCTCACATCCAAGAGGTCACCCATCCCTCCCACTGTCCCTAAGAACAGCCATGTCTAACAGTACTCCTTCTGTGCCAGGCACTGTTCTATGCACTTTATATACACGCAACACAACAACCAATGGGATAGACATAGTTACCAGAATTTCCACATTACAGATTAGAATGTTGAGGCACAGAAAATTAAGTAATTTATCCCACAACATGCAGTAAGTGGTAGACCAGTATTCAAACCCAGGCAGGCTGGCTTTAGAGTCTGTGTCGCTAGTGGTTACACCATGCAACTCCTGCCCATCCATCCCCTCCAGCTGATTCATCCATCCGCCCAGCCCTCCGTGTACTCGTTAATCTACCCATATATTCACCGATGCACCCACTCTCTCACCTCTCCATTCATCCATGTAGGTATCTATTCATGCCTTTATTCTTTTTTTTACTTCTTCATTCACTCAGGTAATTAATTCCTATACTCACCTGTTAGTTCACCCATTCACTTGCCTGGTCCTATGCTGGGTTAAACAGAATGAGCTGCCTGCTTTCGTAGGTCATTGCCCTCTCTGTTCCGTCTTTGCCTGGTACAGTGATTGGTGAAGTTAGGGCATGGGATAGGGGCACCCTAAGCTGGCAGGAGGAACGGGGCCTGCCTCCCATCCCTTGGCCTTTCACCTGAGCTCAGAACTCATGCTTTCCTCCCCTGCCCCTCTCAATCCACCCCTCCCCTGCCTGCCCACAGCATGAGAGCGACATCTCGGCTTACACTTACGAGAAGACGTTGGTGATGGAGCAGCGCTCCCAGATCCTCAAACAGATGCATTTGACCAAGAATGAGCGCGAGCGAGAGGTGAGGTCACCTCGGTGGGTTCTCAGAGCCTTCGGCTGCTGCCAGCTCTGGGTCTGCTCAGATGTAGGATGGGCCAGGTCTGACAGCTCTGGCTATTGGCGCTGCTGCCTTCACCCCAGTCACCCTATTCCCTGCACCCTACCTCCAGCCTTGGGCTCCTCAGCAGTGGGAGCGCACACTGCTGTTGTACCTGCCCAGGCCCCCGACCAAGGCATGTGGGATAGCTGTCCCCTTCTTTATGGGATTTCTGGGGCTTAGGGGGGAGAATAGTGGATGCTAAATATGTATGGATGACAATTTCTGAGGGGTGTGGGCTGCCAGTGTGGGAGACAAGTGTTCATGGAATAGGCTCGCAGAGAGTGGTTAACAGATGGCTATTTAGAGATATAGCTGATGAGTAGGAGTTAGGGGCAAACTTCCCAGGGTGTGGTTGATGGATTCTCAGGGGTAATGATGATAGGCCCCCATATGGTATGGATGTAAGATCTCTGTGTGCATCACTGGTCCTCTGAGGATGGATGAAAGACCCACACCAGGGAGTGGAGTTCTTGGGGAAATGAGTGATGGTTCTCAGGGCTGGAGACAGAATAGCTCTGGAGGTGGGTGCTAGGTCATAGGGGGAATGGGTGGCAGATCCTATAGGGAATGGTGACAGAATCATGGATTATGAGTTTCCCAGGAGTGGATAATACATTTCTTAGAATGTGGTTGGTGGGAAATCAGGGAAGTGAATGGTGGATACCTCTTTGAGCTGGGAAGGATGGATCACGCAAGGATGAGGGTGTTATCCAGGGGTGACAGTAACTATGCGCATGACATGTGTACTGACCACCCAGAACTGATGTAGACCATGGTACTGGGCCAGAGCCTGGCTGTGCCGGGTGTTAACCCTCTGGTTGCCAGCCAGGTGGCAGGGAGGCGTGGGGCTCTGAGAGGGGTGGCTAGATCGGTGGTGCAGCAGGTATTTGATCTTGAAACACTGCACTGTTTTAACAACTGGTGCATTTCCGGAAAGCACACATCCTGGCTGAACATCAGCTGTGTGCTAGCTCTTGGCAGGGCAGGGGTGGTGACTCCCAGCAGAGCTGGCAACCTGTGTCATTCCTTAGATCCAGAGTATCACAGATGAGTCTCGAGGCTCCATCAGGAGAAAGAATCCAGCCAACACTCGGCTCCGCCTCAACGTCCCCGAAGAGACAGCTGGTGATGGCGAGGAGAAGCCAGAGGAGGAGGTGTGCAGCTTGGGTGGTTTGGTTCCAGCCAGTGGGAGGAGAGTGTTTGGCTACCAAAGGAGTCACCTGGTCACCCTTCCTTCATTCATCCCTCAGGTGCAGCTGATCCATGACCAGAGTGCTCCCAGCTGCCCCAGCAGCTCACCATCCCCAGGGGAAGAACCTGAGGTGGAGGGCGAGACAGACCCCGAGAAGGTGCATCTCACCTGGACCAAGGACAAGTCGGCAGCTGAGAAGAATAAGGGTCCCAGTCCTGTCTCCTCCGAGGGCATCAAGGACTTCTTCAGCATGAAGCCGTACGGGCCTGGGGACTGGGGCTGGGGCTGGGGCTGGGCTGGCGAGCCTAGAGCATCTTGCTCACCTTGGCAGAAAGACTGAGAGGGAGGAGTCCTGGCCTGGCAGTCTGCAAACCCAGGACAGGGGCTGTCTTTGGTTTTTCCTCAGAGAACTTACGGGGCGGGGCCTGACTGCTAAGCATCAGGACTCCTGGGTTCAGGAGGAAGGCATAGGAAGGTGGGGGATGTAGGGGCTGGGAGAGCAGGACCAGTGTCCGCCCAGGGCAGATAGTGGTGGCTCAGACTCCGGCCTCTTCCCTTTCCTGACCCCTCTCTTTTTTCTTTCTCTCTTTGCTTCTGTTGTGTCTCCTGAAGGGAGTGGGAGAACTTGTAAGTGCTTCTGCATGTTTTCATTTTCTCTCCTAGGTTGGCCAGGGTCTCTCCTCATCTCACTCTGTCATGGACCCCCAAGGGATGCCCCTGACCTCCCGGGTCTCTGAATAGCCCAGCTTGGAGAGGTCTGGGGGTGGCTGTTCCTGGTTTGCAAAGACCAGGCCCCAACAGCCTAGTTCTGGCTACAGGGGCGGCTGAATCCAGCTCTGGCTCCCCCAACCTCACGCGCTCTGCTCTCCTCCCTTCCTCCCGCAGGAACCAGTCCAACGTGCGGCGCATGCACACGGCTGTGCGGCTGAACGAGGTCATCGTGAATAAATCCCGGGATGCCAAGCTTGTTTTGCTCAACATGCCCGGGCCTCCCCGCAACCGCAACGGTGACGAAAACTGTATCCTAAGTGCAAGACTAGGGGAAGAGGGAGGTGGACTTTAGGGAACCTGGGTCGTGGCCCTGGGATGAAAAGCGCTGAGCCGGTCCTGCGTCAGTATCAGCACCCTGGACAGGGACGCAGGCGCCAGAGTTCCCTGGCGGAGCGCGCGCGTGACCCCAATTCCGTCGGGAGGCGAGGGGGCACGGATTTTCTCCTTGACTGGTGCTCAGACATGGAGTTCCTGGAGGTCCTCACAGAGCACCTGGACAGGGTGATGCTGGTCCGCGGCGGCGGCCGCGAGGTCATCACCATCTACTCCTGAGGGCCAGGACCTGCCCACCCGGGCCCGAGCGCGCCCGGCCCGCGGCCCCGGAGCCCCTTGCCGCGCCCCCCGCCGCTGTCACCGTTTACATACAGACCCTGTGCCCGAACCCTGGCCCCTTCCCCTGCTGCCTGAAGCCTGGAGGCCACGCCCGTCGGGGATGACTCGGAGAGGACGCCAGGAGTGCGAAGACCAGAGCCCTGAGCGCCCCGCCGTCCCGTGGGTCTATGGCCGTGGTGTGGCGCTGCCTTTTTTCTAAATCCGGCCTCGCCCCGCCGGAGGAGACGCTGCAATAAACGTCGGGAGCAGGCGCGAAGAGGAGAGGAGCTGGGGCCTTGAGGAGCCCCAGGTAGTCCACGCAGCCCCTTGCCCCTTCCCTCCTCCTGCCGCGGTCCTCGCTCTGCGTCTCTCTGCGCTGCTGCCCAGTTCCGGCGACGGCGAGGGCACCGGCACGGCCGGGAGGCGCGCGGGTGCGAAGGTCGCGCTCGCGTCTCCACCGCCCCTTCTCGCTGAGCCGCGGGGCGCGGCTGAGCCTATACATAGTGTACAGGAGACATCGCGTGTATTTTTAACGTCCCATATTTATGTAACTAGAAGCGCAACGGACTTCTCGCCAAGTCGAGCTCTCCTGCTGGGGCGCCCAGGGGAGCTGGGGCCTCGGGAAGCTCGGTTTTCCTTGACATCCGAGAGTCTGAGAGCCAAAGTGCTTTAGGCCCAGGCGGGGGTCGTGGTCAGGGGTCATGGTCCTGGTCCCTCGACACCCCCGCCCTGCTCTCGCCTTCGCGCTCTTCCCGCGCGCCCTCGGCTTCCCTTTCTTCCCTCCAGTTCTTAGACGAGGTGAGACAAGTGTCCAGCTTTTCCTGGATTCGCCTCCCAGCGGATGTGAGTTTCCACTGCGGCTGCAGAGACGCGCGCAACCTCTGCTCGTCGGCTCTTATGCAAGTTGGGGCCAGGATAGGGGAGGAGCGATCCTTAAGGGGAGAAACCCAGGGAGGTCCGCGCCCCACCGAGGAAGCCCCGCCCCGGTGCCTTCGCTGGGGAGCAGGCATCTCTCCTCACTTGGCTTGTCGCCTGCTCCCTCTATCCCATGGCTCCTCGCCAAAGACTGAAATCGTGGAGCTGCAGGCAATTCTAGTTTAGGGGCCAGACCCGCTGGGAGGCCCTGGCACCGCCCCTGATGTTCCCTCCCCTGGCCCTCTCCACATCCCGGCCTCGGGGACCCAGCTGCCTACCCCGTGCTCTGAGGCCGGGTCTCGCTGCTAGGCAGCGGCCTCTAGCTTGTCTCCCAGGCATCCTGGCCCAGGGGAGGGCTGGAGTCACAAGCACTTTGTTCTCGGCGCCTCTCTGCCCTCCTCTAGCTAGAACCTGAGGCCTCCAGCTTTCCCCACTCTAGTCCTCGGCGCTTCCGCTCCACCAGCCCGGTCTGTCGGAGGTGCCCCCTGCCCCTTTCCGACCCTTAGAAAGGTGTTTGGAGGGTTCCCTTCCCCCAGGGCACGTTTCTAAGAGGGGGTGGAGGGTGGGGGGGCACAACACAGGCACTGCATGCTCATTCCAGCGTCCTCTGGGATTGGGTACAGTACCTCCAGCCCCAGGGTCCTGACCTGTGCACCTAGTTAGACATCCTGTCCACCTCACAGAGTTGGGGCCACTGGATACACCTGACCTCACCACCTCCTTTCCTTTGAGCCCAAAGCAGAGAGATGCAGCCGGTGCCATCTAGAGGATCAGGTGTGGCCAGGGGCAGGTCTGGAGGTCTGCAGGTTAGGCCAAGGTCTCTGAGATTTGAACGGGTGATAGGACTGATTTTTCAGGTAATAGAAGTTAGAAATGTCAGACACCAGCCCCTGCACCCTTCAAAAGACCTCAGAGAACCGAGGGCCCTCCCTGCTGGAGACCTGAATGTTCTGGGCTGACGTGGTGGAAGGGAAAGGGGTCTGTACCAACACCTATTAGGGAACCAAAGTTGCACTATCTGGGCCCAGACTGTCTGGTTGGCAAGAGCAGTTTCTGTCGATGAAACAAACACCCTACAACAAAAACCCAAGTTTTCTGTGCTACATGTGCAATATTTGTTATGAATGTCATGTCATTCATTGAAATTCTTTATAATCACTGTAGCTAGATGTTTCACGTCCATTCAAGTGACTTTTATTCTGAGTGCAATATTTCAATAGCCTTGTAGTGATAACTAGTGTTGCTTTTGTTTTAGATGATCTCTGTGCAGGGCAATGCAATGAAGCTGAAAACCCTTGTAAATAGGAGAGGTTGCAAACCAAATCAAGAGTATTTATTACTATTATTACTATTATTAGGCCTGCCTTTAATTTTCAGTGTTTCAGTATTCCGCATCCTGCCTCAGTATTGATCTTGTGTTCTTTGTGCCAATATGAAAAGGAGAGGATTTGTTCTTTCCTGTATTGTTGAATGCTCCCATTTAATGCTTTAAGGCTTTTCCTGTATTTTTTAGACTCCCGTCTGCACAAAATGCAATAAAAATAATTTTATTATACCCTTCATAGCCTGAGGTGTGCTGTTTGGACACTCTGGGGGGCCCTCCTGGAGGAACCCAGATTCTCAGTCAGAAACATTAAACTCTGCTGACAGAAGAGCTGAACTGATGCCCCAGGTCTGGTTGTGCAGTTTCTGTGCAGAGAGCACTGCCCCAAGACCAGCTCCTGATACTGGGAAGCACTTCCTAAGTGTCAGGCGCACTGACATCCCCTATGTGCCCGTAAGCCTTCTCTAGGGGAGGCTCAGCCCTGCTGGTCTCACCCACAGGAAGCTTATGCCATTCATCCCAAGTTTATTAAAGGCTCTCCAAGGCTTTTTCCAGATTCTTACTGTACATTCTGCCAACCGCCTACACAATGGGTAAAACAGAGAGTAGCAACTGAGGTGAAATAAAGAGACCCTCACCCCCAGCCAGAAGAGGCCTTTACAATGGTTCTTCCATTCCTAGAACAAGAGGACACACCTGCTGACACACTGTGGTCTAACAGAAGTAGCATGCTGAACAACACTGTAACTAGCCAGCAGGTTTTTGCTTTTTTTTTTTTTTGTACTGGGGATTGAACCCAGGGCCTCTGACTGAGGTACAACCCTAGCCTATTTTTAAAATTTTGAGACAGGGTCCCATTAAGTTGTACAGGCTGGGCTTGAAGTTGTGCTCTTCCTGCCAGAGTGCTGGGATTACAGGTGTGCACTACCGTGCCTGGCTAATGCTTCTCCCTAGATGAGCTACACAAGATAGGCTTAAGAGAGTGTGAGGCTGGATCCCCAGTTGAGGACAAGAAAGGGAAGACTGTGGCCCTCAAGGCACGGATCCCATGATCCTTGGAAAGTGTCTGGCAAACAGGTGCTGCAGATATTCATACCCAAGAAGATGAACAGAGTTCTGACTTTCTCATTTTAATTAAAAAGTAATCATCTTGTTTTAACAACACAAGAGTTCCAAAGAGGGGAAAAAACCCACTATATAACACAAACAGTTCAGAACATAAACTGCTGCCATTTGGGGACTTTCAGTTTTCAAAATATTGTTTGCTCAGCCATTGGCAGGGACTCAGTTGAAGTCACTGCTCTCCCCTGCCCTGCCAGAGACCCCTTGAGATTTGATCCACAGGGCTCTAACAAGCACAGTCCCTAGGGAGAGGGCAGATTCCTTTGGCTCCATTACAAGCAACAGCCAGAAGCCCTCCAACAATCTCATTCTGGCTCCGAAGTTATGAATACCGACTATCGAGAACATGTTCAGCTATCAAAAGTCTGACATCAAATATTCCCTACATCCTGCTGCTCAGAAAACAGAACAAGAGTCCAGATGAAAACAAAAGCCTGGGCTTTTGAGTCAAAAACTCAAAACAAATCACTGAAAAAGAGATGGGCATCCACTATCAGTCTAGGACTGCTTTCTCAGAACAGACTCCATGAAGTGCTGCTTACGAGAGGGAGGTGCTGACAGAAATATTGTAAGGGAAGAGTGGTAGGGCCCAGATTCACAGTTTGTTTCAAACTACTGGTGACTGGAGCTGTTCAGTCCACTGGAGATCCTTCAGTGAAATGGAAGAAAAAAAATTCCAAGAAATGCCACTCCGATGCAGGCAAAATAGCTCCTCCTCCTGGGGCCACCATGGTCACTCTTCACCAATCCATCACAGCTGATCTGCGTCCCTGAGCAGAGACCCATACTCAGGGGAAGGGGACATGGTGACATTGTGCCTGCCATGTCCAGCTGCTCCTCTGTGAAACTAGTCAGGAGTTCAAGCTCTGGTAGATGTGTGCGAATGGGAAAGCCTTGGTAGGCCCAAAATGAACAAAGGTGGTAGCCACTGTTCACGTAAAATGCCATTCCGAACTCAGCCAACTGGGATGCGGCTTCTTTCCAAATCCAGCAGAGGGACCAGAGAAACCCCATCAAACACAAACTGAGCCCAGACACCTGGAACTGCCTGAGCAACCCAAGAGATATTTTCTACCCAAAACCAAAACAAGACTCCCCCAAATGCAGTATAAACTGATTCTGTAAGGAACAAGCAATATGGCCTTGGGCAGGGAGAGCAGGTGGTAGAAACTTACGACATTTGATGTAGAGCTGGAGAGCGCAAAGAACATCCTCCAAACAACTATTTAGAATGAAGCAGAAGGAGGCCAGGGGATGAGGGTACTGGAAGTAGTTGAATGATTTAGCCTCAGTAATGCCTCTGGTAAGATCCCATGGGGGCCTGGGGCCGCCCCACTTGTGCTGAGGTTTGGCTAACCAGGTGGGAGAGAGCAGGGCCACTCTGGATCAGGGTGTCCAGAGCCTTCTGTACACTTGGATTGTCAAAGTTAATACCTGTGGAAGACACGGGCCTCTGGGTAGCCATGTTGCCAGCAGGTGCTAGGCAACTGGAAGGCTGGCCAAACAGCCCTTGGGAAGGAGCCCCAGGCCTGGGGCCCAGGTTCCGAGCAGATCCTGCCTGTCCCAAAATATTTGGAGGCTGGTTGCCAGAGGCCTGTGATCTTTGCTGAGGCTGGCTGTTTGCCGCTGTGGAAAAATTCTGGTTCTGGGTGCTTCCGGAAGCAACTGAGGGTGATGCAGAGCTGCTGTTGGCCACAACAGTGCCACTGTTGAAGAGACTGAGGATTTTGGCCTGAAGCTCTTGCTGGGAGGTGGGGGGTGCAGCTGGACTGGGTGTAGCAGAAGGGAGCACTTGGCCACTCTGGAGTGGCTGGGAGCTTGGCTGTGTCTTCAGTGAGGCACCCGAGGTCGCCCCAAGTGGTTGGCGGGAAATCGGGCCTGAAAGACAGAAGACAGAGGCATCTGGTTCAAAGTACCCCCAGGGGCAGAAGGCCTAGTAGCCCAAGGAAGCACAACAATCACTGAACACATCACACAGTACACTGACAATAACACCAACTTCCAAAAGGGGCCACTTCATGGTATATGCTGGTTTTTTTTTTTGTCTTTTTGAGACAAGGTCTCCCTATGTAGTTCAGGCTAGCCTTGAGCTCACTTTGTAGCCCAGGCTGGTCTCAAACTCACAACGATCCTCCTGCCTCAGCCTCCCGGGTGCTGGAATTACAGGTGTGCGCCACCATGCCCGGCTTGGTATATGCTGTTTATAGAAAACAGACTGGGTCCCAAGAGAACTGCTAAGATAGGTTTGTGTGCGCATGCATCCATCTTGGCCACCTGGGAGCCAGCAACACTAGACCACCCACCACAATAACTTCAGGGATCAGAATTCAGTACTTGAATTGTAAGTTATCATTATCATTAATTATATTAGCATGGATGGCCCATGGGAGAGCCCAAGAGATGGGCTCATTACCCTTACCCACCCCAAAGAGCCCTGGGCCTGCCACCCTCCCAACAAAGCCTGGGGATTAGAGAAATGCAGAGTCAGAACTTCACCTCGGCCCTGCCACGTAGCTCACCAGGCAGAGAGTCGGCGCTGCTCCTCATAAGTCGCTCCTTTCGCTCTCGCAGGTAGTTGATGATCTTGTCTGTCTCTTCAGCAGTGAGGTACCTGTTATCTGCCAGCAGGTTGATGAGGCTTTGTATGGCTGGAGGGTGACCCCCACGCACTCCTTCCTCAGGGCCTCCTCGCTCTCTTTCCTGTAGGATGGCTTCATCAGCCATCTTGGCTGCCTGTCTGGCAATCTCCTCACGTTCCTTCTCCCGGCACTCATTCTTGTAACGCTCATAATTTCTGGCCACCAGCACCATGGCATCTGCCTGGGGCATGTTGCGATGCTCTGGAGGAGGGAATGACATGAGTTATTTTCTCCCATGACAGCTTTGAGTGCCCACCTGCTGTATTCTACCAAGCCTTTTCTAACCTCTAACCAGCAAGAAAACAATTTTGGTGAAAAAGACCTGAGACTGGGAGTCGGAGGGGGAAGGAGGGAGATGTGAGGTGAATGCATATCTTTGGTGGGGAATGCACACTTTGTATGGAGCTATTTCTTTGGGGGAATTCCTGGATCACAGACTTGTAGTAAAAACCAAAGAAACATGACAGCCTCCCACAGATTCAAAGAGACCACGTGGGGAATAACCATGGGAGGCAAGCCCAGCAGCCTTTAGATCAGCAGCAGGAGGCCAAGAAGCCCTCTGTAAAGCCTGACTCCCCTGTGCTCATCAGGACAGAGCTGGCCTATTGATTTTGAATTCATCAGTTCAAAAGCCATGGATTAAGAACAAACCGTGACCCTAAATAACCTCTTCTACTCACTGGTGGGTAACAGGGTCTTGCAGGGTGATGAGAAGACTTCTCAGAACTTTATATAAATGTCCTCACATATCTTGAAGACTATTCCTCAGAGACAAACAATTCACTAGACATCCTTACATATGCTATGGCTATGGGTGCCATAAGGCAGGCCATCAGCTGGTTGAATCTCAACGCTCAGGGCTCAAAGCTCTAAAAGCTACTTTGGTTAAGGACTTAAAGGAACATGGCTCAGCCCTCCAGAGACTTAGAACTTTCTGTTTTCATAGCCCATTTGCTTACTTCTCCAGTACACTGATGAACAGCACCCTAAATGCCTGTGATATTATATTACCCAGCCATTTAGAGGGCTGGGTAAAAGCAAGGATTCTACTGTAGTCAGTGCATATGTGGTAGAAGTCTGCTGGACAGAGCTAGATCTCACTATTGAGAGCTGACAGTGCAGATTTCATTCCAACTCTCTCATCAGGGACTCTGTACTGGTGGCTTGAAAAGAGACATAGTGGGAGTATGTATATAACTCAGAAATCAGCACATGCTAACCCCTATCCCTCACTCCAGAACTAGTTGTTATTTGCCAGAACTTATTGTGTACACCTTGTGACTGGGTAGATAGTAGGCTCAGAACTATATCACTGAGAGAATATCAACACAAATAAATGACTATGTACATCTCCAGTGCATTAAACTTAGAGGGCTCTACCATATTTGACCTGACATACATGAGTCATCAGCCCAAAACCTATTTTTTATGAATAAGGCATGTAAGAATTAATATGTTACTGACTACCTCTGAGGCTGTGGTCTACTTGGGTCTGCATACCTTGTGGAGTTCCAAACATGATGTTGACTGTACAGGAACGGTGAATCTGGTGTTGCTGGGTGATGACAATAGCAAAAGGAGACCCTCCTCTGCTAACATCCTCCAAGGCTTGTGATAGTGACACCTCTGTGTTGAGGAAGATCAAATCCACAACCATGCCTAGGTCCCGGACCTTCCGTCCCACAGATTCAGCATAATCTCTGTAAGAACAAATAAGATCCAGCTGAGCACTCCCTGATCAACTCTCAATGTGCACACTGTTGTTCCTCAGCCAGCTGTGTGTGCTCCTACAGAGAACTCAGAATTGAGCCCACCTTAGTGCCACTAGGCTCCAAGGGTCTAGATCAATTCCCTCCTTTTATACTGGCTCTTCTAGAATGATTCTAACTTGCCTGAGGTCACAGAGGAAGTTGCCAGTAGCACGGTATTTGATACCTTTCTCTTTTTTTCTCTAGTTCAATGGTCCTTTCTTAATACCTATCCTGCTGCCTAACACTTGTGGCATTTATATGTCTCTAGGGAGCCTGCTTTACACATGGGAAAAGTAAAGGCTCTGATACCAGAGAATGGGTTTGTATCCAAGCCCTGACATTTGACTGCCAAGTTGTAAAGCTTTTAAAGCAAGCCCATTTATCTCTTACCAATATAATTTCTTTTATTATTATTTTTTTAACTAAGAACAGGAATAGTAATACGTCAGTTCCTATGACATATGGTTCAGTTTCTATGTCATTTCCTGGATTTTTCCTCCAATCTAAATTAGATTCCTGATATTCTCTTCTCACAGGGCTTATCACCTGTACGCTTATTTTTATTGTCATTCCAACGAGGCTGTGAGATCTGTAAGAGAAAGGGCTGTGTGTGTTGGCTTATTAGAGCCCCAGTATCTAGTATCTACCATATACACAGAAAACTTGCTCAATGAATAAACATGTAATATTATTACTACGAAGATTAAAATGTAAGGTATTACCATGTATCCAGAAATAGCCGTCGACATTTAGAGTAACATCTAGCTCTGAATAAGACAGCTTAGACTGTGAACTCTGCCTGCTGCTTGGTGTCTCAACACCTATTTCCCTAGTCACTGCCTTGAAATTAGCTCTTTAACCCCAAACTGCTAGGAAATAACACGAAGTTACTTACTACTTGCCTGAGGAAAGGGAACACAGCTACTTTTAAGCCTTCAAGCTGTTATCCTCCCTTGTGTTTTTCTGCTCTGCCTCTTCAAGGAGAGAATGTAAACAGAGGTGGGAGAGAATAGTGCTATGAACTCTGGCTTGGTTGATATGGTCATGTAACAGTTCTGCAAGGTCAGGGCCCTTCACAAAGCAGGGCTGGTTCTTGGCTGACAAATGCAGATATATGTGCTTCTCAAAGTACTAGGAATTTCAGGATTGTCTCTGCTTGACTAGTATCTATTCGCTTTCCTACCTGGAGTCCACATATTTGCACAGGACTAATCGTACCTCCTGCTCTAGGGCTGGGCACATTTCACAGTCCTGGCCAATCAGAATGTTCTAGCATCCTTGGTTAACAGGATCAAGGATGGGAAAGCCAGCCAGGTCAGTTCAGTAAAATACTCTTAGGATTTCAGGTGGAAGCATTGGGAAAGATAAGCTCTCTTTCCAATGGGCTTACCAGGAAGATGCGCTTAGGGCCAGTGTCACTTGCCTTTTCAAGGAGAAAATCTGTATGAACGTGAGGACAACATCAAGGAAAGCAGTGCTGAGAAACCAACACAGATCACATCTTGATGGCACAGTTTGAACCTGGACTATGTCTCTGCCTATGTCTTAGGTCCCAGGTAAGCTACATGAAAATTTCTCTTTGTGGCTTAAGCCAATGTGACAGGCTTTTCTATCACCTCTATTCATAGCAATATCAGAATACACAACCACAGGAGGCTTGACTGTCCCTGCTCCTAGAGAGAGGCTAGGTAAGCCAGAACCTTCATTTCCTGTTCTGATGACTAAAGAGGCCTAGGGGAACCTGCAATGCCCCTGTCCACAGACATCGCCATCTCCTCTGAGGAACCCTGGGTAAAATGAGATGTCATGGGTGAACCAATTCAAATTAATGATATAGGGACAGCTCATTCTATTTTGATTTTCTTCTCTGGAAAACTGTTCTCTAGGTTTATAGTCATAGTTGGGATCGAGGGGACCTCTAGGCAATGATTCTTTACTCCTGCTCTGATGTGTCACTTTCAAGGCCAAATGTTTAACCGTGAGTTTCTAAGTGTCCCACAGTGTCCTGCTCCCTTGCTAGAAGGGGACTTGCTAGCTAAATTGAGGGTAATTTTCAAATTACAGCTAAGGCCAAAATGGATTTTTCTTGGGACCATACCAGGTCTCCCTGAACAAATTAGCGAGTAAGTAGATCCTGCTGCATGGTATGATGGAATACCTGGTAAGGCAAATTCTGCTATGCCAGTAGTACAAGACTAAAAGGCCCCAGCTGATGTCCTAACCAAAAACAGTATCCAATCAAGGGGGCAGTAAAGGCCTCCAGCCTCTCATAGACAAGTTTCTCAAGTATCACCTGCTGAAACCTTATCAGTCCCCTTGGAATTCTCCCTTTCTCCCTGCAGTAAAGCTCTCAGAATACAGGGTGGTACTAGACCTCTGCCTCATTAATGAGGCTCTCATTCTAATCCACCCTCTAGTGGCAGATTCACATGTAATTCTTTCCCAAATTCCAAGGAATACTAAGTGGTTCTCTGTCTTAGATTTAAAAGATGCATTTTTGTCTATCCCCCTATATCCGGACTCCCAATTTGTTTGCCTTTGAATAGAAACATCCAAAAACAAAAACAAACAAAACAAAACGAAATAGAAAAATCCCTTTTCAAGAGAAGATCAGCGAAATACTTAAACAGTCTTCCCCTTTTTGCTCAGGATTCTTGCCACATCCACTGCAGTAAAGATGGCAGAGATAGGTAATTGGATTCATCTTTCTAGACTAAAGCTAGTCTCATCTGAACTGTACGAAGAACAAGATCACCCAAAAGGAGAAAGCTACTACTGTGAGCCTCTGAAGATGAGTTTTCTCTTCAAAAAGCAAGACTCCAGTGCTGTTACAATAAGCATGGAAATCTGACTTGCTTCTCATATTTAGGCTAGTAGGTCAATGGTCACTAACTCTTTCCTTGTTTCCTGACAGGTTTTCCTTTCTTCAACCTAGTCAGCGAGCCACCACACCCTCAGGTAGTTAGAGAACACATAATCCCCAGTAGGTAGGGTCTATAGCCCCTTCAAGCTTAAAGAAGTATAAAAGACAGAGACCTCCACTCCCTCAGCATCCTATAACGGATTATGAGGATTTGTGTCTCTCAGGGGAAAATGAGATAGGAGATTAGGGCATGGCAAAACTGGCTGGGGAAGCAGATGTGACCTGTTAATTACAAGATATCAGAACACATGTAGAACAGTTCCCAAAGCCCTGCATACAGACTTCTCAGGAGAATTTGAACAGATTTTCAACAGGGTGGCCTAGACCTGATGTCAGCCTGAGGCACGAGATCTCTGCCTTTCAGGACCCACATGCAAAAGGTCTTGTGGGTTTCCTTGAGATTTGGACTGCACAAAACACACAGATGTCAAGAAGAATTGGGACTACTGTGACTTTCTTCACAGCAGCTTGCCCAGCTTTCTCCCAGGTATCCTTTTATTCCTTTTTCTCCTTTTGCTTGGCCCAAGCTCATGCAAGAGAGCCAGTTTCTGCTTCAATCACCACTTTTACTTTCTTGAATAAATTTGGTCACTGCTTAAAAAAATAAAAAGAATACACAGCTCCAAGCAATGTTTAGATGCCTGTTTAGGTTTAGGGACAAATATCTGACAGTGTCTTACTTAGTCTGCTTGTTGACCACAATTACAGAACAATCCACAGGTCTTTCAGCATCAAAGCGTCTCTGGATTTCCTCAAAATATTGGCGATAAAGCTCTTCTCTACGCCGTTCCTCACGTTTCAAACGCTCTGCAAAAACCATCAGGGAAAACAAAATTAGGATTGCCTTGTAAAAGCAAGCTATAGAACTCTGAATCAATTCTCAAATCTACCCCTAAAAATAACGATCATTATTTTTTCCTGTTATAAATCATCAAAGTGACACAAAGAGTACAGTTAATCCTTTACCTGACACCCACTACCAAACTGCTCTGGCTGCCCAAAGGCTGATGCTACTTTACACCTCCACAAAGGTAGAACCTCCAGGGCTCACTGCTCTGTACCTTAGTCAATATTGGGTATTATTATCCTCTTAATTTCTGCCAACCTGATATGTGATATTTTATTATGTTTAATTTGGACTTTGAAAACTTTTTTTTTAAAAATCAAGTAGTAAGGTTTTATAATAGCTACTTGATCTTAACCAAAAGGTCAAGATAGAATTGCTAAGCATGAAACAATTAGAAAAATCTTTAAAGATATATTGAAAACAAGGTGTGGTGGCACACACCTATAATTCCAGCACTTGGGAGGCTGAGGCAGGAGGATCGTCACAAGTTTAAGGCTGTGCTCCGCTACATAATGAGTTCAAGGCCAGCCTGGACTACATAGAGAGATCAATGGGCAAAAATACAAGCACTTAATGTTTTCGGCTTCCATCTTTTCTCATTGTTGGAATTTCTTATTTCTTGTTGGATGACTAAACCAGATGATGATGCTAATTTGCATTTAAAAATATTTTCAAGCTCAAGATTCTCTAAACATTAATGACCTTTTTGTATTTTTTTTAATTTTTGCAAGCTGCCTGGATAAGTCAGTAGCTCCTTTTTACTTGAGGCATTAGATATAGTACCTTTTTTCTTTTTTCTGCAGTACTAGGGATGGAAACCCAGGGGTCTTCTACCTTAGCTACATCCTCAGCTCTTCGTATTTTTTGAGACAAAGGGTTATGCTAGTTGCCCAGGCTGGCCTCAAACTTGTAATTCTCCTGTCAGCCTCCTGAGTAGGTATGATCAAAGGCATGTGCCACTGTGCCCAGCTTTTTTCTTAAAATATTCTACCAGGAACAGGAATAGGCTGTTTCTGCTACTTTACCTTTTGCACGACTTTCTGGGCCATGAGGGCCTCGCCCATCAAAGCCATCTCTGTAACGGTCAAAGTAAGAGTCATCCTTTCTCCTGCAATAGTCATCCATCCGCAGGTATCGGTCATAAGAGCCCTCTCTCCTGAAAAGCAAATTTTCACAATGTTAAAACTCTGTCCTATTCTGCAAAAAATCAGATAGAATTCTCCTGAGTAAGTCACAGGATTTGAGAGTGTTTCTGGGATCACTGCTTCTCATCTCTGGCTGTGATTGGGTTAACTTGTCTTACACAATGATGTGGAGCGTGTGTGCATGGAGATGATGTAAAGAAAGTCTCTGCCATATAGTAAGTGCAAAATAACTAGTGGTAATTATTTTTATTTGAGGAGCCAGTTAACAACTTCCAAAAAACTTCATCACCTCAAACAGAAATTTCACTCATGAAACAGTAGCTCCATATTCCCTCCTGGTATCTCTATTTTCTGTCTTTATGAATTTGCCTACTCTGGGTATTTCATATAAGCAGAATTATAAACTGTATTTGTTTTTTATGTGTGACTTATTTCACGTAGCATCATGCTTTTAAGGTTCACTCAGATTTTAACATATATAAAAACTACACTTGGGTATTATGGCTGAATAATATTCCACTATGTAGCATTTTAAAATCCATTTCTTTACTGATGGACATTGGATTATTCTTACCTTTTAGCATTTACGAAGAGTGTTGCTATCGTATTCATGTATAATTATCTAAATTGTTTTCAGTTCTGATGTGTATATACTCAGGAGTGGAACTGATTAACTCGTAATTCTATGTTTAACTTTCTGAGGAACTGCCAAACTGTTTTCCATAGTGGTTATATACCATTTTGCACCTGCAATATAGGAGGGCTCCACTTTTTCTACACCTTGTCAATACAACTTATGTTCTGCAGTGTTTTAAAAAATAACCATTCCAGTAGGTGAGAAGTGGTATCTCACTGTACCATTCATTTGCATTTCCCTGGTGACTAATGATGCTGAATATCCATGTATTAACCGGTTATTAGTCTATCTTCCTGTGTTTTTGCATTGCCAAGAAAATTTGTATTCCATTTATGTTTTTGTTTGGACAATGCTTATTTTTTACGGGTGAGGGAAGACTGATCCAGATTTATTTGCTAAGCATAATTTAATCAATCATTCACACCTTTGGCAAAATTTATTGAGTATCACATCTACCATTTGATACTGGAAATACAAAGTTAATCAAATCATTACCCTTGTAGACTTCTCAGTTAGTTCAGCAAAACACATAAGAAAGGTTGCTAACAAAAAAACAAGCAGGATGCCTGTGTACACACCTGTACATAGGGTCTCGGGAGTCTCTTATGTCTCTGTATCTGTCATACATGGGGTCCCGGTGATCTCGAAAGTCCCTAGAGTCTCTTAGGTCACGAAAGTCTCTAAAATCCCTTAGGTCTCGAGTATCTCGAAAACTTCTGCTGTCTCTGTGATCCCGCATGTCTCTGCTGTCTCTGTGTTCCCGAAAGTCTCGGGGGTCTCGAAGGTCTCTGCCATCCCGGGAATCCCGACCATTTCTGCCATCCCTGGATTCTCTCCTTGGACTTCCTCGAATTGGAGATCGATCACGCCTTGTATCTCTGTCTCCAAAGCCATATGGATCCCTGTGGGAGGTAGCAAGAAGATGCTAAGACAAAGAAACTGAAAGTAGCCAACCCTCAGCTTTTATAGGCGAAAGCCTCACCCTCCAATTATTTTTCTCTAAAAGTAACAAACAGGGAGAACATGACTAAGATTTTAAGGACAATTAAAAGTCTAGAAAGTTCTAGAATCTCAAAAGATTAGGACACCATGACCAAAAGTTTTGAATGGGTTAACAATATACATAAGGCTTCAGGGAATAATTCAGCATTCCCTGGACATACCAAACTGTCACTTTAATTTCCACAGGTTTTTAATGTTACAGTGCCTTTCTCTTAAAATATATTTTTTCCCATCAGCCTTGTCTGAAACTTTACAAGGGGGAGAAAGTAATGGGAACATAGTAAGGATCGAAACTCAGGAAGAAAAACAGAGCAAAGAGCATAATTTCATATGGTGATTAAAGGAGCCATCTTTAAAGGGCAGAAAACATCACTTAAATATCTGGGAGGATAGTTAAGTTAAAAAAAAAGGAAAGCAAACACATGATGCACACAATAGAAGATCAAGAACAGTTTCTGTCTTGCAGAGCTGAGTAGTTGTCTCTGTCAGTCTAAGGGTTTATGAAGAATCTGATTTTTTGCTCAAGGTTTTATTTTGCTTTCTGAGTAGTGAAGTCACAGATATGCTTGAGTATACTGGCTCCAATGTTCTTACATGAGACATTTCACCCCAGTGGAAACTCATTTCTAATATATTTAAAATAAAAAACTTCCTATTTTAATCCAATCAAAAAGGCTCACTCCTTTTTCATTTTTGCAAAAAATCACCTTTATATATAGTTACCAAAGTTTAAGTTCTTGAATGTTAACTTTAATTCACCTTCCCCCAGCTCCATCAAGTCACTTATCCTATACATTTTTCCATTCTCTCTAGATTTGTAAGTCCTTATTTTTATACTAACACCAGCATGAATTCCCCAAAATCAAAACCAAGTCAACCTTTTATATTTCAATTCATTCAATACATACTTGCCTAAAATATCACTTTTCACCATTACCAGCCTAAAATTGGCTTTCATGTCCCTCAGCATCCCTCTCTAACAAATCAGGCCCTTTTTTATTATTTCTTTTCAGTTTCCCAGTTCAATCTCTTCAGCTCTATTTAAGCTATTCTTATGACTTAATTTATACAGTATCACTGTCTCTATATTTTTATTCATACTGTTTCTCTACTTGCCTCTGAATGCACATAGGCAAGTCACACAGGAAACTTTTCCAATCCATCAGTAACTAAAGATCCTCTCCTCTTGCTTAACTTTCAGAGCACTATTACTTATCTCGACTTGATATTTATCTTCTTACAAATGCCTTACGTTTAACCTGCTTTAAGGGTTATATCCTCCATAAAACATGCCCTGAACTCACGAGCTTCCCCAACAGGCTCCTGTTCCAGTCCCTTCCACCTCAGTAAGTGGTATAACTAATAGTGGTTCAAGCTAGGAAACTGGATGTTACTCTGCCCTCATGTCATCTAACTCTTCTAATCACATTTCCAAATTCTCTTCATTCTTTCTCTGAATCTGGTATTGGTTCTAAGGCAGTGGTGGTGAACCTATGGCATGCTTGCTGCAGTAGCCTGTTACCATTAAAAGCTTTAAAAGGTTTGCCATCACTGACCTAAGGCCTCAAACATGGTAAGCAGATGCTCTACCACTGAGCTACATCCTCATCCCCTCATGTTCATTCATTCATTCATTTTTTGGAGACAGGGTCTCATTCTGTAGTTCAGGCTGGCCTTGAATTCATGGTGATCCTCCTGATTTAAGACTCCCAAAAGCTAGGATCAGAGGTGTGGGCCACCATGCCTGGCCTTCATGTACTTTTTTTTTTTTTTTTTAAAGAGTCTTGCTATGCAGTTCATGCTCATCTTGAACTCACTTTGTAGCCGAGGGTGGCCTCAAACTTACAGCAATCCTCCTGTCTCATTCTCCCAAGTACAGGGATTACAGGTATGCACCACCATGCCCAGTCTCATGTATGATTTTTACTTAATGTTACTTATCACAAATTGACAGTACTTATTTACTTGTTTAATATCTGCCCTACTAGGCTGCAAGCCCCACAAGGACAAGGATTATGTCAGTTTGATTCTGCATTATAAATCCATTGTGTAAAATAATGTCGGCATATAGCAGATGCTCTATAAATATGCTGAATAAGTCTTGCTTTCATACATACTTCTACTACTTCACTTATCAAACTGTTCTGTGATTAGTCATGTGCTACACAATAATAGTTTAATGACAGACTGCATATACAATAATAGTCGTTTAAGATTATATTGCCTCTTGACACTGTATGTTGTATAAGTCCACTTCATGATGTTCACAAAACAAAACTGCCTAATAATGCATTTCTTAGGATGTATTCCCTTTGTTACACAATGTATGACTGTATCTATCTACATGGCTTCCCTATCAAACAACTTTTTAAAAAAAGAATTATTCCAAACAGCTCTCTTGAAGGCTTTATATCGTTAGAACACAGTACTGAGTTCAGTAAACATTTCGTAAGTTGAATTATCCTACTAAACTGCAGCTTAAGAGCAGGCACCATGTTCTGTTTATACCTCAGTCATTCACCTTGATTATACATACAGGCATTCATCCTTCTGCCATCAGCTTGGGAGAAAATAGAAAACCTCAATTCCATTTCATCTTCATGGATATAGCAAAAAATAAATGCCCATTTTCCTTTTATGAAAAAGCCCCCCCAATTTTTTTTTTAAGGTAAGAATTGCACATTAGCCAGGCATGATGGTGCATGCCTGTAATCCCAGCACTCAGGAGGCTGAGGCGGGAGGATCACTGTGAGTTCGAGACCAGCCTGGGCTACAAAGTGAGCTCAAGGCCAGCCTGAACTGCATAGTGAGACCCTGTCTCAAAGAGACAAAAAA